TTCCATTTAATATTATTATTTACATAGTTGGATTTGCATGTGCCATTTTACTTTTACTTTTTGTTTTCTATATGTCTCATGCCTTTTCTGTCCCTTTATATCTCCTTTACTGCTTCCTTTTGCATTAAGCGTATATTTTTTAATGTAGTATCTTAATTTCTTTAATGATTTTTCAACATATTTTTTAAAGTTATTTTTTAGTGATTTCTCTATGGTTTACCATTTACGTCTTAATTTACCAGAGGCAGCTGGGATTTATACTAGCTAGTTCCAATGAAATATAGAAATCTTGCTCCTACATAGCTCTATTCCCTCTTTCCTCCCTTTGTGGTATTTTGTTATATATCACATCAATTAATGTTATACATTCAAAAATACATTGGTACAATTATTACTTTACCATCTGTAGTCATTTCCTTATCCCAGTATAGCTTTGCTCCTACCCACCTCCTTTGTGCTATTATTGGCAAATATATTTCACATATATTAATTTCTCTGTTATAGGCACGATGATCCATTACATTACTTTACACAATTGCTTTTTAAACCAATTAAGAGGAAGAGAAGAAATATTAATTTATACTATTTTCTATATTTTCATTTTTTTGTTTTTAATTGAATTATAGTTGACATATAATATTTGTTTCAGGTGTACAACATAATGATTTGACAATTACATTATGAAATGCTCGCCATAAGTAGATTTACCTTTTGTCACCATACAAAGTTATTGCAATAATTTTCCTTATGCTGTACTTAGTCTGGACTTATTTCTTTTATAACTGGAAGTTTGTACTCCTTAATCCTCTTCCCTTATTTTTCCTATCAACCCACCCACTCCCCCTCCTCTGGCAGCCACCAGTTTGTTTTCTGTATTTATGAGTCTGTTTCTATTTTTTTGTTTGCTCATTTGTTATGTGTGTTAGTGTTTTAGATTCCACATATAAGTGAAATCAAATCATTTGTCTTTGTCTGACTTATTTCAGCATAATACCCTCTAGGTCCATCTATGTTGTCACAAATGTTAAGATTTCATTCTTTTTTTTATGACTAATATTCTATTGTGTGTATATATATATGTATGCATATATGTATAAACATCTTTTTCCATTCATATATTGGTGGACACTTAAGTTGACTATTGCAAATAATGCTGCAGTAAATATAGGGGAGCATATATTTTCTTGAATTAGTGTTTTCATTTTCTTTAATACCCAGTAGTGGAATTACTGGATATTATGGTATTTCTATTTTTAATTTCTGAGGAACTTCCATACTGTTTTTATTTATACTGCCTTTTATAATTTTGTAACTACTTTTTTTGGTGCTCTTTGTTTTTTGTGTGTATTTGAATTACCGTCTGGAGTTATTTGCTTTTAGCCTAAAGAACTTCCTTTAGTAATTCTTGTAAGGCAGGTGTGCTAGCATAATTTTTTTGTTTTTGTTTGAGTATTTCACCTTATTTCCCCAATCTTATTTTCATAAGGTTGTTTTGTTGGATATAGGATTCTTAGTTGAAAGGTTTTTTTCTTTCAGCACTTTGAATATGTTTTCTCATTGCCTTTAGCCTTTATTTAGTTTTTGGTGAGAAGTCAACTATTAACCTTACTGGTATATACTTGTAAGCAAGAGTTGTTATTCCTTTGTTGCTTTCAGGGTTTATTCCTTGTCTTTGACTTTCAGCATTGTTACTGTAATGTATCTGTTTGTAGAGCTCTTTGCATTTATCCTATTTGGAATTTTTGGAGCTTCCTGGATGTGTAGGTTACAGTTTTTGAATACATTTGGGAAGCTTTTAGCTCTTATTTCTTTGTATATTTTTTCTGCTTCTTTTCATTCTCTTCTTCTGGTATTCCCATTATGCACGTGTTTGGTGTGCTCCATGGTGTTGCACATTTCTCTGAGGCTCTCTTCATTTCTCTCTGTTCTTTGGCTTGTATAATCTCCATTTCCTAGTTAGCTTATTCTTTCTTCTGCCAGTTCAAATCTACTGTTGAGCCCATAATAAAGTTATTTCCACTCCAGAGTTTCTATTTGGTTCATTTCTATAATTTCTGAGTTATGTCCCTGCTCTAGGGACTGAATATCTCTTTATTGGTAGTCTCTCTTTGATATGACATTCATACTGATGAAGGAGTGTGGGCCAAGCTGAGGGCAAAATACAGGCTAACAGCACGCTTCTTTCCCACCCACCCCTCCCCACCCCAGGTGGGATATGTGTGACATAGTATGTAATATGTGGCTTAATGATGTGTGATACGTGGCTTATGGCCCCCTGATATATATCTGAAGGGTCTCATGACTGAGGTTTTATTAAATGGTAATAAATGGTTGCATAGCAACATCTAGGCCCTTAAGGTCCTGGAAACCTTGCTCCCAAAATACCTTAGAGACTTACTCTATCCCTGACCCCCTCCCAACCTGAGGGTATATAATGAGTTATCCATCATGACCCCTGTGCCGCTCTTCTGCCCACGGGTCCTGTTCCCATGCTTTAATAAAATCACGTTTTTGCACCAAAGATGTCTTCAAGAATTCTTTCTTGGCCATTGGCTCTGGACCACTCCATGCATCACCCCCAAACTTCATCAGTACCTTTCTTCTTTAATCCTGCTTTTCTTTAGCTCTGGGAAAATATTTATAATGGCTACTTTGAATTTTTTTCTGATAAATCTGACATCAAGTTGCTCTCACAGGCAGTTTTTATTGCCTATTTTTCCAGTGTATGAGTCATACCTTCCTGTTTCCTTGCATGCTTCCTTGTTTTTTCTTTGGAAACTGGGCATTTATTACAAGTACCAACCCTGGGTGCTTATTTTTCCTCCCTCGTCCTCCTCACTTTGTTATTATTATTTGCTTGTTTATTTGTTTAGTGACTGGCTGGATTATTTTAGTAAAGTTTACTTCCCCCCCCCCCTTAAATTTCTGATGTTTTTATCCTAGTATTATGGTAATTTGGCTACAGCTCTCTTTGTCTTATTTCCTGACCACACCCAGCTGTTAAACTTCAACAGTTTACTGCCTGATTGCTCTATTATTTTCAATGCTGTCCTGAGACATAAATTTTTCTATAAATGGATCCAATCAACTTCTGGGTCCTTTGAAGCAATATTTTATGAGGTCAGTGTTATTATCTGTTCTCACCCAAGGAGGGCTTCCCTCAACTGTCTTTATCTTTGGTTCTCTCTGGCAAACTAGCCAACTTACAATTTAGCCCATATCTTGAATCTCCTCACAATTGCCTAACCCCAAAACCCCCAGGTTTTTGAGAGCACTGCTTGGCTTACATTTCTCCATGTTTTTGGCACATGAAATCACTTCCTTTAGGAAGAGATTTAAGCTATGTGTTTCATGGACGCCCCCCCCCCCCCACCTCCCTCAATTAGAGAGCCAGGGCTTTGGGGAAGAGGAAGAACAGTGGCAAACTGAGTCACATCTCTGCTCTTAGGGGCTGAACTCTAGGTAGAGGAGGGGGTAGTAGCCTGAGGTCCTCTGGCTTATCTCTCTGGTCCCAACTACCACTTCCGAGGTGAGGGTGATTAGGTCCCTAGTATTCACAGCACTCTAGCCCAAGGTAGATCCTCTATTCCATGAGTGGACTGGATGGGAGAAAAGATCCTCCATCTCTCAACCACACCTACCCAGGATTTAGCCTTAGCGTCAGGTACTAGGGCCTGGTGAGAATTGCTGACATTCTGCTCCACCCCCTGGAATTATGGGGAGAGGAGAACCTGTGTTCTTGATTGCAGCAGAGTGGGGTCCTGCTGAGTAGAGAGGGTGAAGTGGTCCTGGTTGAAATACTACAGATTCTCACTCGCCTTTCTTATCACATTTTCATGGATTTTCTTGAATAGATATTTTTTTCATTTGCTGTTTTTCTCTTAGGACTATTTCCAAGGGTTTAAGTGATTATTTGTTGTTCGCTTGTTTTAAAATAATTTTCATCAGTATCACTGGGGAGTGGGTCATCTGAGCTCCTCATGCTGTCAGGCCAGTAGTTAATCTTTGGTGTTATTCTTGCAACTTTCCTATAAGCTTAAATTGATTTCAAGAAAAGTTAAGAAATAAAAAAAAAAAAGACACAGAAGAAAGTGGTTTTTAGGAATAAACATTAAAATATAAAGTGCTTTTGCGCTTGCGATTATTATTCATTCCCATGCATTGGTATCCAAACACTAGCAGTGTTTGCTTGCTCTTAATGACAACTAGAACTACCTTAAACAAACACCCTGGGTTCATAGCCTATCCAGATATTGAGGAAGAAGACAATTTTACTTTACCTTTCAACCTTCTTTTGTCTGGTCTAAGAATTAAATTGGCATATGACAGATTAACAGACTACAAAATTTAATTACCTACCTATCAGGCAGTCAGGCAAGTGAGGCTTCTGTGTCATTCAGAGATAAGAAGGGAGGGGTCAGGGGCCTGGGACCTTAAAGGGAAGGAAGACAATTCACAGGAAGATGAAAGAGAGTAAATGTTCGGTAAACAAATGTTTGCTGGGCCAGACGGAAACAATGGGACAGAGAGAGGAATTTTAACAGACTTTGCTAAATTCTTCCCTGTCTAAAACACCTAGTTCATATTATACTATAGTTAACTATGTTGATAGGTCCCTTCCTAGAGCACATCCAAATTCGTCTACACAGTTAGAGGGAGGGTCAAAGGTTCTTTCCGAGTTTGTTTCTTGAAAATAATCACCAGAACAATCCACATGCCAAAGACACATTTTGGGGTGATATTTTTTCTCCCCTGCTCAGTAATAGAGGGTATTAACAGCTGGTTGACTGTGGCACAGGAGTGCTTTAATTCAAAAGGACTCAGGGACTGGTGAGTAGGGGGGCGGAGGGGGGGTCTCTGGGTTTAACACAGTGAACGTCAGGCCATCAAGCTTTCTTAGCGGCTTTTCCTGGGTGAGCAAGGCCAATGGAGGCGTGACTGGGCAGGAAGGCGCCACGTCCGCTTCCAGGCTTAGGCTTTCAGTTTCCTTTCTCCATCTTGCCTACGATTTTCTGCGTCAGTGTCAGCGAAGCCTGACAGGGCAGCCTAAGAAGAGCCCCGCGGTGAGCAGGACGGTAAGTGCCCAGGGCTTGCTCTCCCCGCTCCCCACCCTCCCCAGATCCAAGACTCGAGGCTGGTGGGGGCGGGGGGTGGGGGGCGCCTCCCCAGCCGCCCCTCCCGCCCCTCGCAGCTACTCGCGGACTAGCTCTTCCCGGAACTGGTCTGGGGCGGGAGAAGCCAGGCAGCGGTTACGGGAAGAGGGGGCCTTCTGGCAGGTGACTCAGTCCTGTGGGGTCCTTACCTCCCGTTGGACTGGCAGGCGCCCTCCCCGGGGCGGGAGGGGGCGGCTGGGGGCGGTGGCAGGGGGCGGTGGCAGCGGGACAAACCGCCTAACAAACCCGCTCCCTCGCCCTCCCCCACCCCACTTCTCAGCAGGGCCGCGGGAGGCTGCCAGGGTCCCGGGTGCTGTCCCGAGAGCCCCTACCCTCCAGCCCACGTAACCCCTGCCTAACACTGAAGCTCCAGAGGACGAATAAACGTTGCTTAAAATTGAGAGTTGCTCAATTCCTGGGGTAAACTGTTCAAAAGACTTGGCTTTTTTTCTTTCGAAAAGTTGATGAGAAAGAAGACTTTTCCTGCAGCAGTATGTATGTGTCTCCGCCCGAGTAGCTGGTCTGGCAGGAATTTTTACTTTCTCCCCATAGCCTGGTGAAGTAGGTCAGGACTGTTGTTTTTCACAGCAGTGCAATATGTATTTTGGCAAATTGCACTGAAACTTTGCGAAAGTTTGGAATGATTGGTAAGATTTCCGTTAAGCCTTAGCTTAAACTTGTTCTCCGCTCCCCGCCTCCCCCCAAAGAACTGGGAGACGTTGAGTTCAAGATGTTATTTCTTGACTGTGTCCGGATTGGGACAGAAGGACTTGTTCTTTTTAAACATTAACAGTGGAATGCAATAGAACAAAGGCCACTGAAGTACGTTTTTGGTTCAAGGGAACAGGAAATGAGTAAGGGCGTAGGTTAGTAAGGACACTAAATTGCCTCGAATTATTTTCATTTGTTGACACTTGAAATTTTTTACGCAATGAGACTGTAGTGCCAATAGAGAGAATATGTCAAGCATTTGGACACCGACAGACCTGGGTAATCTAAAATTTAAACTGGGCTCTGGTGGGCTTGACCTACTTTAGTTAAGATATTTCAGATAAGAGGAACAGAATTTTTGGTATTTTCCCTCTGGTGGTGCCCCTAAATAATCTTACAATAAAGTTCATTAGGAAGAAACTTGGCTTAACTCCAAAATTTAAAAGAAAAGACTCAAATTTGGAAAGGAATTTTGAATGTTTGCCATACAGAAGTTTTCCCTTTTCATGTTACCTTGTGTTTTACTTACAGCTTCTGGGATGAAGGTCCTGATTAAAATGGCCTTTTCTAGCGACTTTATGTTTTAGATTTCTGTTTGTTACTGACCTTGGTACTTCTCTGTAACACTATATTACTTACTAGCTTGCACCTGCTTTAAGGAGACTGAATCCGCCTGCAGGTGGGAAGTGCACCTTGCCCCCTGGAAATGGGCGTGGGTGGGTGGGAGTGTAGTAAAGGGCAGTTTTTTCAGGGTAGCAGGGGGCCTACCGCAAATTGAAACGGAAGCAGGTTTCGTCTCTGGGGCGCCCGCGAGTCAGACCTTCACTCTCAGTGGGGAGGTGGGGCGTAGCCGCAGCACCCACCCACTTGGTCTCCCCCAGCAGCAAGTTAATTCCCCGGAGCGCCACGTGGGCCCTTTGCTTACACAACGGAGAGTTTCGGGACAGCAGCGCATGTGCTCTCGTGGAGTTTCTTAGGTGTGGGGGGCTGAGGGTTCTCGAGCCTTAAGTCTCTTGTGGGCGGCCTGGAAGAGGCGCACAGGGGCTCAGCTGGAAGAGGCTCGCGGAAAGCCCAATGGGGAGTGCACCTGTTGATGCGTGCCACGCTCTCCTCCAGTTCCCGGAGTACTACTCCCGGCGCGGTTTCCCCTAACGGCAGGTCCCGCACTGGTGGGTCCCCTTCCCGCCTGAGATCCAGCGGGAAGAGCCGGCCTACCCGGGCATGAGTAGAATAAGAATCCTGTCCGTCTCTCCTCTCTCGACCTGCGCCCCCTTGCGGGAGTCGCCCTGGGCTCCGGGGCTGTAACTGTCGCGGATCCTGGCAGAAAAGGATTGAGCCCCTCTTGGCCCTTCCGGCCGGTTCTGGAGCCTCCTGGGGATTCATCTTACAGCAGTATAAGTCACGAGGCGTGTCACTTTTTTAAATCTGAGGAACGGACTCCGTTTGGTTATTTCTTCTTTTGTAGGGCCGCAAAAGTTAATTAAAGTCGTGTTTTTGGACTCAACTGACTCCTTTCCTTTGATTCAGTGTAATCCTACAAACATTTATTGAGCTCCTATGGGCCAGGCTGAGTTCTGGGTGCTGGGGACATAGAGACGGAACTGAACTTGGTTCCTTCCCCCAGAGGCTCTCAGAGAGGTTGGGGGAGACGGAGCAGTTATCCACACGGGTAACTTGGGCTTAAGGGGCCTGGAGGGGGGCCACTGACAGGGGAGGAATGGGAGGAAGATGGTGGGGCCAGTTGGAGAAGTAATGACAGGTAACAGAGGGCAACATGTACTCAACGCTCATTCTTGTTTTCCGTACTATGCATCAGTGAGGTAAGAAACACTATTTCTCCTTTATGTTCAGCTTGTCACCTCCTCTCCCAAGACTTCATAACCCACCCACGAATGTTCCCTTCCTCTACATTTTCATACACTCTGTGGCTGTCTTTACACTTACCATGAATTGCACTTAACACTCTGTATCCTAATACTTTTCTTTAAAAACTTTTCAGTTAAGTTGTATTATAATTTTCTGTGTTAAAATTCATGCAGAGTAAATAGAGAAAGCTCTCAGGAGTCTGTTCCCTAAGATAACCAAAGGTTGCAGTTTAGTGTCTTTTTCAGACATTTACACACTCAAATACAGCCTTTTAAGTGTTTTTAAATCTATAATTTTTTGCTCTTTTGTTTTCTTATTTTGTATGATGCTGTTCAACTGCATTTCAGAACTGGTTTTTTTTTTTTTCTATTAACATCTCTATTTTTCTCAGATGTAATTTCACTCCCCTCTGGCATCAGTGTTTCTAATGATTTTTCCCCCCTAATGACCACCTTTCTTGTTTCTGAGAATATGTGTATCCACAATTTACATTTAATTCATCTGCTTGCTCATATGCCCCCAGTGTTTTTTCTCCCTCAATTCTGGGTTTAGAGAAGTAATTTCTTCTTTGACTCCATGTACGTATGAATGAATGAATGATGAATATGTATATATTTTAATATTTTCTTTCCAGATAAAACTGCTTTTTTCTCTGATGGTCTCTGCTTTTAGCCATATTGTCTTTATTTGGCCATTTAAGTTTTTGTGCAAAACAAACAGCTTCCTCATTGTTTTCTTCTTATTCTATATATTGGGTTGTCATCTTTGGTGATTCAGTACTTGTGAAAGATGTGATATAACGTTCATGTATATATTCAAGATGGTTTGTGTCTTCTACATGGAACCTTTCTACTGGAGAAATTAACCCATTTTATTTACATTAATATCTATATGCTTCAGTTTTTCAATATAATTGAAAAATCCTCTTGTAGTTCCGTGCTCCAAGGTTTAAAATATTCCCCAGGGTAATGGTTTCCTTTTATCATCTGATAAGCTTCCTTACCTACTTGTCAAGTTCTTGAGTTGTTGTTTTTTTTTAAACTTCTTTCAGATCTTCACTTTAGCTTACTATATTTTGTTTGTTTGGTTTTCGTTTTGGACTTGAAGCTTTCAAAAAGTATAGTTTTTTAAATCAGTGATATTTGTTTTAAAGAATAAAGCACATGAAAATCTTGCGTGGATACTATCTGGTGAATGAATCAAATTCCTTGCAAGAATTGAATAAAATAAATAAATAATAAGTTAATTATTCCCTACATTCAGCATTTACTGAGCACCTGCATTTACTGAGTCTATCTTTTTCACCCGGGTTGTCAACAGGAATGCCACGGAAAGTAGAAAGAGGAACCAGGTAGGAAATGAGAAGCTGGAAACAGGTACCAGAGATAATGATGGGCTGAAGCAAATGAGGAATTTTAGTTTTCTTCTTCACTTTTCTTCATTTTCCAGATTTTCCTATAGCATCCAAGTAGTGCTTTTTATAATTAAAAGAAAGAATGCTATAAAAATAAGTTTAAGAGCTTTGTATCTCCGGTATTATGCACAACTTGTGATTTTGAACACGACTGTTTCCTGATGGGCTAACCTTGTCCCTTTAGCTACTAAGAATCTGTTGTATAAACTGAGAAAATATACCTATTAGGTTGAATTTGTTTAAGTTTATTTATTTATTTTGAGACAGAGATTGCAAGCAAGGGAGGAGCAGAGAGAGGGAGAGAGAGAGAGAATCCCAATGTGGGGCTCAAGCTCCCAAACCATAAGATGGGTTCTTGGAGCGCCTAGGTGGCTCAGTTGGTTAAGCATCTGACTTCAGCTCAGGTCAGGATCTCATGGTGTGTGAGTTCGAGCCCTGCATCGGAGTCTGTGCTGACAGCCCAGAGCCTGGAACCTTCTTTGGATTCTCTGTCTCTCTCTCTCTCTCTGCCCCTCCCCAGCTTGTGTGCTCTCTCTCTCTCTCTCTCAAAAATATATATATATATAAAAAAAAAAGATTTGGACTCTCGACCAACTGAGGCACCCCAGGCACCCCTAGGTTGAATTTTTAATTCAAGCTAGTCTTGTATAGATGGGCCTCAGAGAATATTTGCTAAATATTTTATTTTACTGTAGCATAACTGATACCTTGGTTGTTTCTTGACCCCCTTTTGAGTCCTTTGATGAAAACCTTGAGAAGAGGGAATGTGTATCTTCCTGATAGCAGTTGTATGGTGATAAAGAAGACACCAAACAGCCATATGATAGTGTGAGGCATTTACTACATTCATCAATTTACTCTGAGGCTTCAATTTCCTCAACAACGGCAACAGCAACAAAAACCAACAGGCAAAACTGAGTTTAAGCAGGTT